GTTATCATCCGACAGAAGACGTACCCTATGAGTTCACACAGGTGCGTATGATGGTTTGTGAAAGTGCAGAACAGACCGAAGTGTGTGTGTGTGTGTGTGTGTGTGTGTGTGTGTCTCTGTCTATGTCTATCTGTGTCGTGGCCTAATGGTTAGAGAGTCGGGCTCGTAACCCAAAGGTTGCAGTGAATGTACAGTGCTCTCTCCCACCTTCAATACCACGACTGAGGTGCCTTTGAGCAAGGCACCAAACCCCCAACTGCTCCCCGGGTGCCGCAACATAAATGGCTGCCCACTGCTCCGGGTGTGTGTTCACTGCTGTGTGTGTGCACTTAGGATGGGCACTAATTCCGAGTATGGGTCACCATACTTGGCCACATGTCATGTCATGTCACGTCACTCACTCACTCACTTTGTTTGCTGTAGCCGATCGTCAGGCCGGATGTCGTCAGTGATCATGCAGAGACGCACGAGCAGGTTCTCAAAGCCAGACTCGGTAAAGAGGTTTTAAATAACAAACAGGCTCCGACCATCGAGGAGCTCAGTAAGATGTTTTACACCACCAAACACCGCTGGTACCCCGTCGGACAGTGAGTTTGCATTCTCTACTGGACAAAAACAACACATTCTGCCTCGGTTCAGTTGAATGAACTGGTCTGTGTTTGTGTTTTCACTACAGGTATCACTCCAGACGCAGAAAGCCAAATCCACCCAAAGACCGATAGTCCTGGTCTTCTCTAATGTTCTTTGTACATGTACTTCTGCACATTAAATAAACCCTTCCTTCAGCTATTGGTTTAATGTATTGTGTATTATAATTTATTTGTTATCAATCATATTATAATTAACTTATACCTTGAAAAAATCTATAATTAAAATAAAATATAAAAAGTTGCCAAAGCAATGTTTATCATTTTCATTTAGTTTAAGCTGAAGCTCTAAATGAACGAAAACTAAAATGGAGAAAAAAAAAAAAAAGTTAAAACTATAGATATTTAAAAAACAAAACGAATAACGTATGACCAAACACGACAAAAATGTAATAAAAAAAGTGATATACATATATATATACAGTGGGTACGGAAAGTATTCAGACCCC